TAGAATAAGGCTTTGGGGCCCATTCTACTATACTTATAATAAGGAATTTTCAAAATGTTATAGGTATTTCTTTAGGTCCCTATATTGCTCCAAAAGGGCTCCTTTGGGGGATACTGAGTATACGGGTTGCTTTCACGGTTTTAAAGGGACTCTTCACAACGGTCCTGCAAATACTGTAGGAGCCTTGGCAATTAGACTTTTGGGCTCCGTTAAGTCTTACCTTTAAGGGATAATTACAAGACTCTAGAATCCAAAGGGGGTACTATAAGCGGTCTGGGCCCTTAGTACTTTGACGGAAGTGCTGCCTTCGATCCGTTGGAAGGTCTTGTGTTTGGGATTCTACTTGGAGGCCCAGGGGACTTAGTAAGTAGGTTATAAGTAGAGTTATAATTGGGGCAACTCCATTTAGGGTACTTATAACTCTACTTATAACCTACAAACTAAGTCCCCTGGGCCTCCACGTAGTTTAGGGTGTAAGGGTTGAGTCTGACAAGAACACTGAGTCGAAGAGTGCTAGTCTGGGTGGTTGTCAAAATTATGGTCCCTTTTTGGGTCCTTATTATAATACGGCACCTATTATTTAGGGTACCCCAAATGGGACCATAATTTTGACAACTACCCATATGGGATTCCGTGCTAGATTAGAACAGGGTCTCTTTTAACCGACAGGGTGCTGTGTACTTCGGGTTGCATGTTACGTAGTAGGACCCTGGACTCGAAATTGACTTGAAGGGTTTAGGGTTTAGGGTTTAGGGTTTAGGGCCTTGAATCCCTAAACCCAGACTGAAACCAAGAAACCCTAAAGCCTAAACCCCTGAACCCCTGAACCCCAAAACCCAAGCCAAGTTCAGGCTTTGAGATGCAGTTCAAACAAGCCTGGGCCCAACCGATGGGACACCCAGAGATTCCATAACCTCTTAATGTAGAGGCCTTGATAATTATAATAGGGTTTTGGGGGCTCCTTATTTTAATTATAGTAAAATATGCCCCAAACTTTATTCTAATTATTCAGGCCCCTATATTAGTTTCTTGGGAAGAATGAGTTGGGGGGTGCCATAGGCTTGTAAGGGACCGAAAACCGAAAGGTCTGAATACCTGGTTCTAGTCACTGCACTATCATGATGAAACTACCTTTAAATTTGGTTTAGTGTTTAGGGTTTGGGGCTTCGGGTTTAGGGTTCAGGGTTTAGGGTTTAGATCAACAAAGTCCGAATCTGGTCAACATTCTGGGTGCAACACCATGTGCACATAAAGACTCGTGTGAAGGATTGTCAAGGTCGCGTCCAAATCCAATCGCTCTTCCGAATTACAACAAGCCCTAAGCATTCAGAATAATCCAACGTCAGAAGAACCCAATGAGTTCAGAAAGGAGCAGCGAGTGCCGTAAACACCGAACCCTTGAAAAAGACAAACAAAAATAACAGCCAACGGCATCATCGACCTATGGGACACCTCCCTCCTCACGATTCACCACCCTATTAAACAAACAACAACCCTAAACCTTAAACCCAAATAACACATAGCGGTATGTTTTCCCTGCGAACTTTTTCTGAAGAGCCTGGAAGCCGTCGGCGCCGAAGGATTGTCTGCCTCAGGGTTCTGGAAGGGCTTTATGCAGCTTTACGACGGGTTCTATCAGGGTTTTAAGAGGCTTCCATAAGCGCTTCAGAATATCCATTCCGGCTTCTCCTGTTCCTACTCCTCCTGTTCCTCCTACAACAGCAGCAGCAGCAACAACAACAACAACACCAACACCAACACCAACACAAACACCAACACCAACACCAACACCAACACCAACACCAACACCAACACCAACACCAACAACAACAACAACAACAACAAC